TCGATCAATCCTGCTGATTCTTCATCTCCTCCACCCTTTTTGCCCATCCCAGGCCCAGCTCTGGGACCTGCTGGGGTCCTCTGTGCAACAATGGGCCTCTGCGGGGCTGCAAGATCAATTCACCAATTAATTCCAATTCTCCCTCCCATAAAGGTACGATCCCCCCTCCAAACATGCTGAGGCATGGAAGAGATTTAAGGTATGTTCCTTCCTTAACTCCATGTAACATGCTCTTTCTTTCTGGCACACTTGGCACCATTCCTTGCCATTCTCTCTTTTACAGAAGACTGTTCTTTCTGTAGCCTCCAGACACCTGGGTACTACAGCACCCTCAGTCTTTGAGCCTGGCATCTCTGAAACAAGATGCAAAACACTAGAATCCCATACACTTATTTTAAATCACAACCCAGTCTTCATTTCCCCAGAGTTTTTCATGATCTAGATCACATCTTTAACTATTTTTCTCTACCTGCACTGCCAGTACCGAGAGATTTCCTGGTTTTGTTCACAACTGGAGTAACAAGGTTTGGTGCTATTGTGTCTTGGCCTTGTCGAGCAGCAACAGGATCATACTCCTTCCCGTCATAGTTCGCATCAAAAAATTTTTTGAACCACTGAACAAATTCAAAGTTGTCCTGAAATTTTCCTTTCACTAGTTTGTCCACAGGAATTATCTGAAGAGGGGGAAAAAAGAAAAAAAATACACTCATAAAGGGTAAAGAACCTCTCTGTGTTTTTATATAAAGTTTTAAAGTTAATGCACTCAAAAGATATGCAAATTTAATTCTTGTCCAGTCTAGGGAAAATCCCCCTTGACCACAACTATATCAAATAACGGGATTTTTGTAATTATTGGAATGAAAAACCAATCATGCTTTGCCTTTGAGGGTCCAAATAAGTTTAAATAATTCTGCAGCAAAGTTTCTGCTAGACCAAGTTTACAGACAAAACTTCTTCCTGTCCACATGAAGCTGGCTCTGATGAATCTGAACTGACCAACTCCAGAACTGCTACAAGAGCTGAACATCTCTGTCACAGCAGACTCCAGCTTCTCTGGGATGAGGTGTAGAACTAAAGACTATTTTAAAAATGCAGAAAATAGTGAAGTCTTGTTTGTAAAGATTTTTTTTTTTTCCATAAGGCACTTGGAAGCCAGGCTGGTTGTCCAGATGGGTTGTGTGGACAAACTGCACAAGCCACTGTCCCCAAGCAGAGACATCATCTTAAAAAAGGAAAAAGCTTCAACCCTGGATGTTCTGCATCCTACCAAACACTGTCTGTAACTATTACCTGAATAAATTCCCCTCCATCAGCAGAACTGTCATTCCACCTGAACAAGCTTTTTCACAATTTCATTTTCACTACTAAAAATCATGGATTTTAGTATATGGAGGCATTTAAAAGCCATGTAGATGTGGCACTTGGGGACATGGTTTAGTGGTGGCCTTGGCAATGCTGGGGGAACAGTTGGATTTGATGTCTCAGACACATTTTCCAACCTTAACGATGATGTAATTCTATACACTTGTAAAGAGGAATTTGGAATCCTTAGGACTATCACAGCAGAAGGTTATAGGAACACACCTCCTACAAAGATGTCCCAAAGAGGAAGCTCAGGCAAACCTTATCTCATAGGAATTCCAGTATTATTTTGTGCCACAGAAGTTTCCCACAATTAAAAGGGTAACATTAATTTCATCATTAAGAACTGGAAACCTGACCTTGGCTGGAGCAAAGCAAAATGTGTCCTAACTGATGTGATGCCCCCAAGGCAGGCCAAAACAAAAGGTTTTGTGATTTACAAACCAAAATCAAACTCTGTTCCCAGATTTATTCAGTTTTAAATCTGAAAGTTCATCCCATCTAATTTAACATTAAAAGCAGAGTCAGTTATAGCCCAGCTTACTTTGTCAACACCCATTCTTTTAAAACCTGCTTGTAGAACCTTGAAGTTTTGAATGTACTCATGTTCCAATTTTGCTTGAAACTTCACTTTCTTGAGTGCTACAGAACCTGGGAAGAGCATGTCCATGAACTGACAGTATGCAGCACCTGCCAAAAGGAAAAGAACACAAATCCTGGGATGAATTAAGTCAGCTCAGCTCACTAACCTTGGTGAGTTTCTTTCCAGTCAGGTCAGCAAACTGACCTGACTCACTCCTCAGTCACACAAGCCCTTTAAAGGCAACAAAGGCAAGAAAACAGGAACCTTCAGTCTCCTTTTTGGTGCAGCATGGCCATAAATAAGCTTAAAGGAGTTGGAGAACCAAACTTTTGGGCTCCTGACTTGAACTCTTATTCATAAGAACAAAACTGCCTCCAGAATTTCAAGGGGAAAAAAAACCCCTAATGAATAACTTCACTTTCTTTTCTTCATGGATATCAGCACAGATCTGAGATGCTACATGTGTCTAACAGGCATGTAATCTTCTCTTAACAACACTAACAGAACTAAATCAGAAAATGCATTATTCTAAAAATTGTACTTAACCATTATTGAAATTGTAATATATTCACCTCCTACAAACAGAACCTATACACAATTCAAGGTGCTCTCCAAGATAAGAGACTAATGACCTGAATTATATTTAAAGCAGGCCTTAATTAAAGAACCAAAATAAGATAAGTGTTTCTTCCTATTAATTTAAATCCTTCATGTCCTCCAATTCAGCACTAGCTGAAGTAAGAGGAAAAGAGAGATTCAGTCCAGCCACAAAGAGTGGACAAGCATCTCCATATTTGTAGAACATACACAGTAAAAAAAAAAAAAAAAAAAAGTGTTTTTAAAGTGGATTCTCACTCTGCAGTGATGATGCACAACCATTAAAAGCACAAGCACAACATTCAGGGCATTATTCCCACACCAACACCAATGAATCAAGGAGTAAAGGAAACCCTAACCTAAACCATCCAACAGCTACACAACAAGCTGTTGGGAGCTATCTGAAGGCCAAGAAGGAATACAGGAGAGCATTGACCTCAACTGCTCTGTTCATCTCAACCACATCCTACAACTGTTCACTCTCTTATCAAGATACTTTGCAGGCGCTCCCACTTTCACCTGCTCCCAGAAGACTGATGTCATCCACTGGTGCAAATTAAAATAAAAACAACAAACCAGCTCTTGCTGTTTGCTCTCCATTGTGTCTCAGTTCACTTGCTGCAGAGCTCCAATCCCAACTCAAACACAGAGGACTTGCCAGAAGCCAGGGGTTGGCTCACTATTGGCAGAGGGAGCGATAAGCGTGATGAAAACAGAGGGATCACAGCAGTCAAAGGGCAGCTCTTGTGCTTTTATGCAACCTCAAACTGCTGCTGTCACTGCTGCCCTTGCCAAAGACAGCAAAGCAAGCTTGGGAACTCCAGCTTCCACAGGACTATGGCAGCAAAAGCCACTTCATCCCTGCCAAGGCACGAAGCATTAGTGCAGATGCACAAAAGGGACGTTACTCAGGACATACCACATCAACAGCTTTTCCCAAAAATAGGTGAGCTGGAATTCTGCAGAGCCAGTGCTAATTATCCTCACCTCAACACAGAGCTCTCACAGCATTCAAGGCTCACACCAATCCCATGCAAATCAACCCTGCACACCACACGGCTCAACCTGCCTATCTGAGAGCAGACAGTCTTATCACTTCCCCTCCTCCTGGGGCTTAGGTCTTTAGTTCCCTCACCCTTGCAGTTCTTGTCCATCATCTCACTAGACAAAAAGCACTACAAATGCCTGTTATGAGTCCCTTGGCTCTCTGTAATCTTTGGGATTGTTTCTTCCACAAACTCAGCAACAGCTGGTATTGACAGTCCAAAACCTCACTTTTAATTAATTTCTCCTTTTATTTCACTTTCAATTTCCACATCTCTCCTACCATGAGCAACACCTTATCTTAAATTCACTGCATGAGACAAACTTCACTTTTCACTGACTGCCTGTTGTAGTTATCCAAATTATCTTGTACCCATGCTGCATTCTTAGCCTTGGGTTTTTTTCAGCTATTATTCCACAGACTATTATCTTTTATTTGTTCTTACAAGCCTCCTCCTCCCACACACTCCTCCCTACGATGACACTTGACTCCATTTCTGTACCACAGACACTTCCCCTTCCTGCCTACTAGCATATATGAGATTCAGCTGTGCTTAACTTGGTTCAAGCCCAGGTAAGCTGGGCTGACGCAGACTGGATGTGCTCCAGGACCAAGAGGAGTTTTAAAGGTGCACATGACCCCACAAGTCACTGCTCTGTCCTCCTTACACTCCAGTACTCTTCCAGAACAAATCACAATTGTTTTTGTTAGTTACACTTTTAAGACTTACTCTATCCATGTAGGCTAAATGTTTAATTCCTCATGGGAAAACACCTTCTTCCTCAGTCGTTTTTTCACATTAACACCCATTGCTTATAGCATCTATGCTGTAGTGAGTCATGAGAACGTGCCTTGTCATTACACTGACATTATTAACAACCACTTCAATAACACTCCAACCAGAACTGGATCATAACCCTGACCACGAATCTGTTCACACCAGGACCTAAGCCAGGAGCACAGCTGCAGCAGGGCAGCACAGAGGGTGCAGCTGCACCTCCCCAGAACCAGGGTGCACATCCCACGCGGAGGTGCCCTCGGGGTGAACCCCCTTACCTGAGCACAGCTGTTCGATCTTGGTCAGCGTCAGCTGCAGAGACTCATTGATCCACGCCAGCATGTCATGTCGGCTCAAGTTATCGCTGGTCACTGAAGTAGAATACACATTCACTGCCATTTTCTGAAAGACACAACCAGAGGTGTGAGCGCCACAGACGCCGCCGGGCCGCGGTGGAGCCGCTTCCTTCGGAGCCCTCCCAAGCCCCGGCGAGTGAACCGCGGGCTGCCGACAGCCGGGAGGACCCTCCCGCACCGCCCTGCCAGGGCTCGGCTCGGGCATTTCCGAGGAAAATTGGGCACCGGGGCGCTCACGTGGGAACCGCTGAAAGGAACCACGGCTGCGGCAAGTTACTCATGCCTCTCCCCCGCGTTACCGGGAACGGCCGAAGCGCTTCCTCCGCGGCCACGGGATCTCCCCGGGGATCAATACCGAGCGGCCGCTCCCCGCCCAGCCCCGCCGGCACAAAGCGGAGCCGCCGGTGCAGCTGCCGCCGGGCAGGGCCGCCCGCGCTGCGGGTGGGGCGCGGCCCGCGCTCTCCCCGCTCCCGCTCCTCACCACCCCCCGCCGGTCCCTCCGCCCCGCCACCCCCGGTCCCCGCCGCACCTCCGCCCGCCGAGGGGCGCGGCCCGGCCCTGCAGGCCTCGCGCCGGTGCCCTCAGGGCGACGGCGCCCCGCCCGGCCGCTCCCCGAGCCCGGGGCCCTCCCCGCCGCCACCCGGCAGCCCCGCCGCGGCCCCGGCCCGGTACCTGCGCCGCGCTCGCCCCGTCGGCCCCGCGTTCAAACCGGCCCCGCCCGCCCTGACCGGGACCGCGTCACGCGCTCGCTGCGCGCCTGCGTCACGCGCACGTCACGGCCCGCGCGGGGAGCGCCGCGCGCCGCCACGGGGCGGGGAACGGTTGCCAGGGGGCGGGGGGAGCTGCTGCGTTGCTATGGAGATGCCACGCCCACTCCGCCAGAGGGCTCGCCTGCCATTGGCCGAGCCACTGGCCCCGCCCACACCGGGGGTCCCGCGTGCCTGAGGGTCGCGCCGGGCTCGGGCCTGAGGGTGCGACGGAGCCGCTGCGGCTGCGAGCACCGGGACGGCCCGACCCGGGAGCCCGGCACTGCCCCGGCCCCGAAGCCGAACCCCCGGCACTGCCCCGGCACGGGACACCCCGGCATTGCCCCGGCCCGGATCCCCGGCACGGCACAGCCCAACCCTGGACCCTGGCATAGCCCCAGCCCCGACCCCCCAGCACAGCCCGGCCCCGGACCCAGCGACACAAACCGACCCCAAACCAGCGGCACAGCCCAACACGGCTCCAGCTGTGCTGCCACACCAGCCCCGGCCACCTTGGTGTCACTGGTGTCACCTGAGCGGCAGCAGGAGAGGGGCGGCTCAGATCTCTGGCTGTGCCCCTCCTCCCACTGTGAACCCCCTTTATTTCCCCAAAAAGACTGTCCAGCCGTACAGAAATACTCGTTTTTAATCAGACATGATAAATGGTAAACTCTCGACATTTTTTTTCCCACATGGAAACCAGTGAAATCATGTGGACAAGGCAGAGTTGCGAGTTTCCACACTCCAGGATACAAAAACTGTGAAATGTGTAAAAAATGATACATTTCTCTCACTTTTAAAAGATTGTATAAAAACGCACAGCATGTTCAACATTAGAAATCGTTAACCTAAAAAATAGCACCAGGGAGAGTTAAAACCCTTTAAAAAGTATTAAAAAGGAATTTCTGAGATCCCCCTCCCTTAACATTTTATAAACTCAAAATGAAAGGCAGCTCTTACAGGGAAAAACATTTCAAGGAAGACTTGTCTACTACAATTCTCATCAAGAGAGCTTAATGCCAAGACAATTCTCATTCCTCTTTTATCTTTGTTTACTTTCCCCAAGTCCTTTTTTTTTCCCTCATCTATTTGTTTTCCTTTTGATCAGATAGGAAAGGATGTGAGATCTGGAGTATGTAAGATCAGGGATGCCATGGAGTGGAGGGCACACGTTGGCCCAGTCTGGAGGAATCACCCATCAGAGGATGGCTGTCACCCTGAGCCCCTGCACTGATGGGTGTTTGCCCTCATGCCCCATGCTGGGCTCCAAACGGGACTGCAAGGACCTGGGATGAGGAATTAGTGTTGTGGCTGGGGTCCAGCTGGACACAAGGATCACAGATTGGCAAAGAGTCCACAAGCAGCTGGTGCAGTGCTGGCAGTGCCAAGGCTTCCCAAACACCTCCAGCACGCACAGAACCCACCCTGCCATCTTCCCAGCCCAGGGGCTGCTGGCAAGAGGGTGCACTGCGTCCCCAAGCACTTGTCAAGCATTGGAGGTGACAGCAGTGACTTGGACCAGCCTGCTTGGCTTTTCTCAGTTTTCTTAACTAAGGCATGTGGCTTGAACAAGTCACCAAAAATGAAACCCCAAGGAGTTCTCTCATTCCAGCTTAAAACAAGGAAAAAAAGCCTTTTAACTACCTGGGTTTTCCCTTGCTGTTCCCTTGCTTCCCAAGCACAGCCTTGGATTGGAGACCAAGAGAAGATGGTTCTCAGAGCTGGGATGGAAAACTCCACACAAGGGTGGAAAATGGGAGGCTGCTGTCCTCCACCACAAGGACAGGGGTGCCAGAGAGGTAGAAGGAGCTGGGAGAGAAGTTCTTCCCAGTGATGCTGTACAGCACCCTGCAGGAGAGCAAGGCGGCCTGGCATTGCTTGGGTGGAGGGTTGGCCCATGGTTTGAACCTGAATCATTCTGAGAAGGCTCTTCCAGAGCCAGGTGGCAGGTGAACAGCAGAGGTAGGGGAGGACAGAGGGACCAAGAGGGGAGTAGTTTCAGTGCATTGAAATGTGCATTGGAATTCAGATCCCCAGAGATGCCTGCTGGAACAGTAGCCTGGTGGCTGCAGGAAACCTGGCTGAAATGGCCACGGGCACCTGCTGGTCCACAGGCTCAGTGTGCCCAGGACTTCATGGAATGCATAATAATCACTCTGGCAAAGCTGGGGAGTAGAGGAAGGCAATCAAAAGTGAATCAGTGGTGGCCACAGGAGCTCCCAGTTTGGGGGTACAGCCCCAGGAGCCCCCAGGGCGCTGCCAGGCTGGGGCTGGGCACACAATCCCACCTGTGTGCACAGGGATGGGAGCACAGGGGAGGAGAGGTGCAGCCCCAGAGCCCCCAGCAGTGGCAGTGCTTTCCTGCCTCACTGTCCCATTCCCTGGGCACAGGCAAGAGCAGTGCTGCACTCCTGGACCCTGCACTCCACCAGGGTTGGGTGGGATTTTCCCTGGATGGAATGCCCTGCCACCACTGCCTGGGTTCATGACATCCTACGTGACATTTGGGGCGCTGAGATTTGAGGGTGCCATTGACCATTACACTGTCCTTCCTGCTGACATACCACATTCTTTTGGGAAATGGATGCTCCAAGAATATTTTCCTTTACAGACCCTGGAGCCCAAATCCTCCCTGCTCCAGTTACTGTGTAAGCTTTCAAACCATTCAGCAGGATTTTAAAATGTAAGGAGAGGTTTTAGATGCTTTAAAAAGGAAGTAGTGAATATTTGTAAACTACAACCAAACATATAAAACAATATTTCTTTAGTTCTAGCTAGAAAAGTAATTCTATCACCTCACAGTTCAGTTTCAGCTACATTCAGGTCTAGGAATCTCCACATTCTTATGTAATGCCTTAAAGCAGCAATAGACATCAAAACAACAAAATTAAATTTTATCAAAAAAAAATAAAAACAAAAAAGATTTGGTTTCTTGATCCCGTGTTCAGTGTGTAACCTGAGCAGGGTCCCTTACACCTGCTGCTACGGTTTGGGGGTTTTTGGCAGTAACTTCAAGAGGTTTTGTTTGTTTAGGAAAAGCACCAATTCACTGTAGTTCAGGTTTGCCTGCAGCTCCCCAGCAGCTGCCTGCACACTGGCTGCTCAGCAAGTGGAGACTTCCCAGCTCCAGGCTAAACAGGAATAATGCTCTGGAGGATGAGACTCCCATCTCATCAGCGATGCATAGAGCTTCGTGTGCTGGCTAATTAAAGCTTCGTGTCCATCATTTCCTACTAGGGATCACTGTTAGTCCCTTTACAGAAGTTGCCCTGCCAGGTTCTTTGGTTACAGACATTCCTCGGCTCTCCCAGGCTGTCCCCGGGGAGGGACAGGCCCTGGCAGCCCGGTGGCCATGCCCGTCCCTCTCCCGCCACAGCAGCGGTGCTGTGCATCGTTACCAGAGAGACGAGGGGCGCTCCAGTTTGCTATTCACAGGCAAAGTAATCCTTGAGTGGGGAGAAGAGGTGCCGGATGACAGGGACGCTCCACGAGCCCCCCAGCAGCTTCTGGCGAGTCCCGCGGCCCATGTTGGAGACATCCGTGTAGGGCAGGGGGAAGCCAAAGATCCTGAGGAGCAGAGGAAGGAGAGGGCAGGTGAGGCAGAGCAGGAATCCCTTCCCCTGGGCAGCACTGCTCCCAGGCCACCCAAACACAGTGAGCACCAGGTGTCTCCTGTGGGGAGGGGATTCAGCTCTCCAGCCCCACACAACCCAAGCAGTTCTGTCTGAGGCTTCCCACCATCCCCAGTGCCCTGCACTTGTAGAATTTCCTGGCAAGGCTCCTGTGCCTGGGCATCCAGCCTGCCTCTGCTCAGTAGCACCTCTGCATTCATTGCCCCAGGGCTACTCCATGGAGATAGGACAGAGTAGCTCTGAGTCATGGGCTGGGCACTTCCCTTACAATCAGACAGATGAAAGTCCAACATCACAGCCATTTCACATGACAAAGGCTTGGAATTGTTGTTTTACTTTCAAATGCCTTTAGCTCAGTGTTAACTCCAACAAATAGTGGCAATTAAAATATAAGCAAGCAAAAGTATTTAACCCCATTCTTGTGTTTACTGGCCAGAAGCATCCATGATACAAAACCTTTAGGTTCTGTCACACATATTTGGTGTAATGGAGTGCTTGTAATTGGATTTATCTGCTCCCAGTCCTTCTGCTGTGTTTTGCCATGAATTCAGGGGGTGAAGCGTGGAGCAGGGTGCACTCATGCTTTGCCACAGCAGCTGCTGGCTGTGGTGTGAGCTCCCCCACAGCACCCACCACAGCCACAGCAGCCACTCAGTTCCCTCCATAAACCCACAAGCATGGCACTGACTGGGGCACAGGGCTGCCATACAGCACCCCACATCAGCCTGGGCCTGACCCCAAAGGCAATCAACCTGTGCACCCCAAGCCAGACCCACCAGAGCATCCTGAGCAAGCCTCATCACTCCTCTCTCCAAAACCCTCAGGGCCAGGGCAGGGGATGCTGCTACACTTCTCCCCCGCAGTCTCATCATTGCTCATTAGTGAGAGCATTAATTATCATGTGCACATCACTGCAGGGAAGCTGCCCCATGCAGGAGCTGTGGCTCCTTGCTCCCAGGAGCTGGGCTTAGAGCCAGGGAGACAAAAAAACCCAAATGGGCACTTCGAAACAAACCAAAACTACCGTGAGAGATCTAAGGACAGCAGACTGACTGGTTACCTGTCCATCCCAGGGAGGTTGCCCCAAAAGTAACGAGCTCGGTGGGCAGCTGATATCTTGATTGCATCAATCATAACTGGGTTACACTGCGAGCCAAAAAGAGGGGAAATAAAAGTTAGAGGAAATGTTGGCTTGATTCTCTCCTGCATGAACAGCCCTTCCCACTGCACTGCAGGGACTTAAAAGTGGTCAGCAAATCCTGAAAATTATGTAGCTCCCACAAACCCTGTTTCACACCAGAGAATGGCCTGGGTGGCCACATGAGCTCCCAGGCCATCCCAGTAGCTATTGACCATCACAGTGTGCCCAGTGCTGGTTCCCATGGACCAGGATCAGCCTTCAATGGTGATTTTACACCAGTGGTTCCTGCTGACCCACAACCCATCCTGGCTACCACAGAGTTAAAACTCCTTCCCACTCCCTGACCCCCCTCTCCCTAGAAATAACAGGCATTGCTGGGAACAGATGCTTGCTGCAATGCTGGCAAAACCCCTCCCCCAGAGGACTTGTGCTTGGGCTTGACCTGATGAAAGCCAGAGGGGAGGATCCAGAGCCAAGACTGAATTTGATTCCTTGGCATGTGCACCAGGCAGGGGGTTTTCCTGCATCAGGGCCACAGGAAACCATAGCCAGACCCTCACACCCGGCACACCCTGCACAGCCCAGCAAATGTCACCTGCTCCACGGCCTTTCCCACAGCTGTCAGCAATCCCTACCTCCAGAAACCGGGAAATGTCCCTCTTGTCATTGATCCTCATGGCCACCACGTTCTCAAACATCCAGAAGAATGGTCGCTCCTCGCCTGCCTTGGGACGGGCGTAGTTGAGCAGGTGGTAGAACTCAAAGAACAGCCTGCCAGTTCCTTCTGTGGGGAAAAAAAGCCCAGCAGCAGGTTGGTGTGATGGTGTTTACAGGGGTCTTAGGATGAGAGAAGAGACGAGAATGTTGACTCCATGTTTCAGAAGGCTTGATTTATTATTTTATGATATATATTATATTAAAACTATACTAAAAGAATAGAAGAAAGGATTTCATCAGAAGGCTAGTTAAGAATACAAAAGGAATGATAACAAAGGCTTGTGACTGACTGAGACAGTCTGGACAGCTGGACTGTGATTGGCCATTAATTAGAAACAACCACATGAGACCAATCACAGATGTACCTGTTGCATTCTACAGCAGCAGGTAATCATTGTTTACATTTTGTTCTTGAGGCCTCTCAGCTTCTCAGGAGAAAAAACCTTAAGGAAAGGATTTTTCATAAAACATGTCTGTGACAGGTTGGCACCAGCATGGGCTGGGGGGCTGGGGGGCCTGGCTGCCCTCCTCAAGATAGGTATGGAGACAGCCCATCACCAATACAGCTGGGGGCTGAACCACCACCCAGAAGGTGGCTCCACGGCCGAGGACCATCCCAAGGTATGCAACCCAGCAGAGCAAAGCAGCCTTACCAAACAGAGCCTTCCTGGTTGGATTGACAAGGGAGACGTCGTCACAGGGGCTTCCACCGATGACCAGGTCAAAAGGACCCCACTCCTCAATCTACAGAGAACAGATAGTCCAGACTGTTAGGGGATGCCACAGAATGGGTCTCTCTTCCCCATGGGGCAGGGCACTAACTCATCCCAGTGATACCCATGCCCCCAGGGTGCCCTGTCCCTCAGGCTCCCACAGCAGCAGAGCTCACATTTCTCTTGGTTATGTTCCTGACATCGCGCACGTAGGTGATGTTGCCCTCGGGCCGCACTTTGCCTGCGGCCATGGGGTTCTCACAGATCTCTGAGGCAATGTACTTCTCCACCTGGATGCCCAAGTCCTTCAGCACCGTGTACCCTGCCCACGGACAGAGGTCTGAGGTGGCACTGCTCTCTTTAGCCTCCAAGTCTCCCTCGTCAGCACCGCTCGATGTGGCTGCTCCTGGATGTCCTAGGTGGGTGTAGTCAAACAGCACTTCAGGGTGAGTCAACTTTTATTTGACCCATTCCTCCAGGCAGTCTTGCTCCCAGAAAGGAGAATGCCAGAGCTGAGTGAACTGAGCCAAACCAGAGTACAGGTTACTGGTGTCCTCACAGCTCTGGCTTCTCAAGGGAACAAGCCACCCCAGATCACACTTGGCATAGCAGGAACACCCCTGTGAGGTGCCCACACATGCCCTCCCCTTCCATCCCTCCTTTCCTCCACAACCCTCTCCAGCAGGAAAGGGAGACCCTGCCCTCATCCCTTTTCTGGTGGGCATCTCCCGCTTTCACCCCCCCCCTCCCCACCAAGCTTTTAGAGACAGGTTTGAGCCCACAGAGTGATTCATCCCCAATGCCCAGTGCCAAGAGCTGCCCAGCAGTGCTTCCCTACTGCCTCACCTGTTGTCACCCCATCGAACAACGAGAGCACTCGAATTGGTCTCCTCTTCGCTGGAGGAACTGTTGGGTAGATTTTGGGCGCAGCCTGCAATGGAGACAGCCATGAAGCCCCAGCCCTGGCAGTGCTGCATTGTCCCATTAGGCTCTGAATGCAGCACCTCCACCTTCAGGAAAGCAACTGCAGGACCAAGAGCCTGGCACCCTTGGAAAGGCTGGGTGAACAAGACCGAGGCAGAGGGAAGAGGAAGTCCAGGTAGCTCACCCTGACCTCAGTGACCCTCTTCCCCACATCCCAGCACACCAGGCTCCCTGCCGCAGCCCTTACATATTCCTGTCCCTTGTCACTGGTGAAGAAGTCCTGCAGGCGAGCGTTCCAGTCCTGCCGGCGCTGCAGCACGCCGCGGCTCTGCTGGGGCTGGCACATGTAGCAGTTCCAGGGCTCCTGCTCCTTCACTCTGGCTGACGTCCCTCGCCCCACCAGCACGTCCAGACACTCCACACAGAAGCACCTGCCCAAACCACAACAGCTTCTGCTTGTCACCCCAGCAACCCCTTTGGGTCACCCCAGCTTCTCCTGGAGTCTCCCCTGCCATGCACCAGAGCCCCCACCATTTTACAGGATATTTTTCCAGACAGTACTCTGGTTTTTAGAGCTGCTAACACAAGCTGGTGACCAAGCTTGTGTTAGCAGCTCTAAAAACTGGGTAAGTCTCCAGCCAACCTCCACAGGGCTTATTCAGATGATACCTGGCTCAGTAAGGGCAAGTAGGCTGTGTTGGGATATGTTTCATGGCAGACAACTGAGGAGAAGCACAGCCCCTGCCCAGGCTCATGGAGGATGACCCTGCTTCCTGCAGCTCCCTGGGAATGATGCCAGGCCCTCAGCCCAGGAGCAGACATGGGGCTCACCTGCAGCAGCTGGCATTGCTGCAGAGCAGCAGCTCCTTGCCTGCGCAGCAGACGGTGCAGTAGGACTGGTACCCATCTTCATCATACATGTAGAAGTACTCCAAGAATCTATCCTAGCAAAAGGACATCAGGAGCAGAGAAGGACAGAGGGTCAGGAGCCGTGCTCAGACCGTGGAAAACACAGCTTTGCTCCATTCCCAGTACATATTTTGGAGATGCAATCCTCAGTGTTTCAAGGTGGTGAGGACACACTGAGGGACAGCTCCATGGGAGACACAGCATGGCCAGGAGCCAGCACAGCCCCAGCCCCATCCTCCCGCTCAGCCCCAGCACAGCAGCACCTACCCTGCATGTCTGGCAGAGGCCTCCCTTGAACAGTGGGTGGAAAGTGGCCGGGTTCCTCCTCCCACAGGACAAACAGCTATCTGTGGGACAGAGAGACAGAGCTGTGCTCACCCAGGGTAGGGAACACCCAGGGCAGGGCCCCCTTACACCCCACCACAGGCTCCAGAGGCTGGAGCCGTGTCTGGATAAAGCCTGCCCTCAGAACTGCACCCAAATGGGGCAGGCCCTTGGAGCCACATCCAGATGTGGCTGTGGCTCCCATGGAGGACCTGCTCAGCACCCCATCCACCCCCTTCCCCTGAACGCCCTGTCCCCCTCAGCACCCTGTACCCCTCAGCACGCCGTCCCCCTCAGCACCCTGCACTCACAGCACTTTCCCCCCTCCTACATGGTGCAGTTGAAAAGGGACCCACAAAACCCTTGCTGGGCACCCCCAGCACCTCACACCTCTTCCAAGGAGACACACGACCAGTGTTTACCTTCCAACTTCCCGCTGTTGTTCGTAACGTCAGAAACCATTTGCTCTTTATAAATTTGAAAAGAAAAAGAAAAAAAAGACATTATCATTCCTTGTGTTACAAACTCTAAATGCATTCTGCTTACAGGCACCTTTTTTCTTGCATTAGAACTACTCCAACTTTGCTGAGAGATTTTGGTGCAAAGCCCCCATCCTTTCACTGATGGAGATATCAGAACTTAGTGTAGCAGCACATGCTCCAAGCTGGTGGGGCCCAGCCCATGTCTTGCAGGTAGGTTTTCTGGTGTCTTGTAAGGCACAAGTCAGCAGCACCAGACCACAAAAGCTTTTGCCTTCAGAAACCAGGCTCATGGCTCCTGGGAAGAGCCAAGCCCTTAGCCAGAATGGTTTCCAGCGCTCTTGGGGTGCACAGCCCAGGCCAAGCCACTCCCCAGCTCTCTCTGTTGGTTACCTCGGGTCTGGTCCTCTTCCACACGCTGCTCCTTGCTGCTGTTGCAGGGGTAGGTCTTCAGCCTCTTGGTGGGGGGACACTGTTCAAGGGACACCACCTCCTCTGTGCCATTCCTCAGCACCCCATTCTCTGCAAGGAAAAGGATCCTCCTTAAGGACAAGCCTCCAGCCTCAGGACTGGCCCAGGGCATTTCCTGCCAAGCCCTGCCAGGTCTCACCCCAGCCACAGCAGAACCTTTCCTGGCCACCCAGGTCCTCACACAGGGCACAAGGCTCTGCCAGGTGTGATTTCCATGGGGCTTGGAGGGTTCTTTGCTCCAGCTCTTTGCAGTGCCACTGAGGGTCCCAGTGAAAAGCCCCAGGATCCCCCTGGGACTGGACTGGCATGGCCACAGCACAGGGTGAGCAGGTTCAGCCAGGGGCAGCCCACAGTGGCCACTGCCCATGCCAGCCCCCACCACCCCCCGGCAGCTGATGGCACCACCTCACCTGAGCCTTTGGGTGGCAGCAGTCCCTTGAGCCCCAGGGGCTTGAAGCCAGTGATTGCCCAGTCGATCATGGGCTTCAGCTGCTCCTCCAGAGACTCCCTGGGGCCTGTTGTAAATGTCTTCCCCGACCGGCTCCGGGCCACCTGAGGAGCATGGGCAGCAGGGGACAGGGGGACAGAGTGGTCTCTGTCAGGGGAGTAGCCACAGCCTCCCAGGGTCACAGCCCCAGGCGCCCTCCCCACCCAGCACACACACACACACACACACACAGAGGGGTTTAGTGGCCCTGGGATGGTGGCAGCTGATGGATTCCCACTCTGGGCATGCGCTTGGCCACAGCCCCGTGCCTCCATCCCTGCAGTGACCCCATCTGTCCTCCACCAGCCCCAATGGAGCCAGAAGCAGGGACAGCCCAGTCAAAGCTCTTTCCCAGATTCTGCTCCCATGGCAAGTGCCAGGAAGAAAAGGCAGAAGAGGTGCCTGTGGGTCTGCACTTCAAAAGGCATCCTGCACTGCCCTGGGACACCTCTGGCCAGCCTGGCACTGCCCTGCAGCCATGATGCTGCCACGTCCGAGCCCTCACAGGGAGTCTGGCCTGGGGTTCTGGAGCAGTGAGACCCTGGAGCAGCAGCAGCTACCCCCAAACCCTCAGGATAAGCAGAGCCTGGCCCCACAACTGCACTTGGAAACAATCTCAGCAGTGAAAGGAGGGTTTTACTGCATCCATCCCACTGTCCCCTCAGCCCAGCTGGTACCTCCTCACCCACCCCTGGTGGTTACCTCCAGAGCGTGGTAAATGGCACGGCGGTAGGACACCAGCTTGTTGAACGTGGAGGAATTGAAATGCTGCCTGAAAGCCATCAGTCCCACCAGTTTGTCTGCAGAAACCTGGGGGAGAGCACCAAGATCTCAGCTGTGAGATGGGAATGCCCTGCTGGGCCATATCCCCCCAGCACTGTGCAGTCCCCAGCTCTGTGCAGCACTGTGGCCGCAGGAGGAGCCCGGTGGCAGCTCTGCCAAGAGCAGCAGCGTGACAAGGACGGGTGGGTTGCACCCTCTGCCGGCACTGCTGGTGTGACACCAGCACATCACCTCCTCCCTCCTGCCTGCGGTGTAGGAGGGGTTGGTATCCTCCCTGGATATAGGAAATATCCTCGTTGGATATTAGGAAAAGGTTCATGGTTGGGCACTAGAACACACTCCCTAGGGAAGAGGTCATGGCAGGAGCCTGACAGAGATCAAGGAGTGTTTGGATGACACTTTTGGGCATATAGTGGGATTTTATGGCTGTCCTGTGCAGGGACAGAGTGTGACTCAAAGATCCTTGTGGGTCCCTTCCAGCTCAGGACCCTGAGGGGCTGTGTGAGGGGCTCTGAGGGGACATCCCTCCCTAGGCAGGGAGTGACAGGGAAAGCTCTGGAGCATGGACAAAACGCTGTGAAGTCACCAGGCAGATGTCCCCATGTCTGGATGCTGTCACCAACCTACCAGTGATTAGTTACAGACACCAGAGCCATGAGAATCTGCCAGGGCCTTGCCACGCTTAACACTGGGAGGGGAGGCCTGGGAGGCTGCAGGAGCACATCCACCCCCCACAGCCAGCCTCGGGAGTGGGGCAGAAACAGGGTAGGTGTTTTGGGCTGGGCCAAAACAGAGTCCAAGTTCTCTCTTACCTCGGAGAACTTCCCGTCTCCAAACCACTGCACCCAGCGCATGCCCGACACCGCCTGGCGCTTGGCCGTGGCTCTGTGGGACACGACGATCGCAGGCCACCAAGAAAAACCTTTGATCTTCCCCCAGACAAGCTCCCCAATTCCAAACTCCTTCCCATCCTGAAAGCACAACACAACAGATCAGCCAAAACTCCTCATTTTGTCTGGGCAGCAGGGCAGGAGAGCCCTGGAGCACAGGGGACAGCCCTGGTGTGTCACCATGTGTGTCACACACATAGAACCTCAGTGCAGTGATCTCCAAAAACTGCAACCCCTCCCTCAAGCACAGGGCCAAACCATTCCCCCCTGGCAGCCCGGTATCCCAGCCCTGATCCATGCTGAAGCTTGGTGGGGAGGCCTGTGTGTGCCAGGCAATGCTGAGCCCGTGCCTGGCACACAGTTGGTGCATGCTCCGTCCTGCTCAGCCCACCTGGCACTGGCCCCGTGCTTGTCCACTCCTGCCTGCCCTGCCACGGTCTCTGCAAACACACCAAGGCTGTTCCCTGGGTGCCCTCAGCAGATGAGGCTCCTCCTTGGCACAGGGCAGCCCCTGCACAGGGCTCACAGCTCAGCCTGTGTTGTGTGGCTGCACCCCAGGGAGAGGACACCCACCCACCCTCCTCTTGTGCCTGCTGGGGAGAGCAGGAAATGTGGCAGAGCAAAAATCAGAAGGAAAAAAGAGCCAAGAATTTTGGTGTGACCAGTCACAGGCCACGCTGGGTGCTGTGCACAGCAAGGAACCTCACACGGAGGAACCTCTGCCTGCAGAGCCCTCCTTCCCAGCTTTGTTCTGCAATTACGTACTTAATTATGCAGCAAGATGCAATTGCCCAATTCCTGCAAGTCTGGGGCCCTGCCCTGCGGCCTGCAGGCACCAAATCCTGCTCTGCAGCCCCAGCAGCTTCGGTTCTCTCCAGCATCCCCGACAGAAATGTTTTCTGCACATGCAAGTGCCTGTCTGAGCAGGGCACGGCACATTCATGTGTGTCTCGGGGGGCCCACGTGTGGCACCAGTGGCAGCTTGGCAGTGCTGGTCCCCAAAGCATCCAAGCCTGATGGATGGAGACAGCCTGGCACCACCAGGCATGCAGGGAAGGGTGGGCAGGAGGAACAGCACTGAGGTGTCCAAGTTAGTTTTGGGACAAGTCACAGAGGTTCATCCTTGTCCCACACCACCCTGGGTGCAGGAGCAGAGCTCAGGCCCTCTGTACCTGGTACTCCAGTGCCATGCCCATGTCTCTGCTCTCTGCCTCCTCGGCCCCCAGCTCAGCAGAGCCGTTCTGGCCCTCCTGGGAGCTGCTCCCCGAGAGTGTGCTGCTGCTCTGCGATGAGTCCTGAGAGTCCTCCTCCGTCAGGTCGATGGTCATGGGCGTGGGCACGGCAGAGCGACGCCTGGAGCTCTGCATGGCAGAGGCAGAGGAGTGTGAGTGCAGCAGGAGAGGGACAGGGGGAGCAGAGACCTGCCCCACATCACCCCCATTCGCCACATCACCCTCATTGTCCACATCACCCCCATTCCCCACATCACCCCCATTCGCCACATCACCCTCATTGTCCACATCACCCCAGCCCTGCAGTGGGGATCGGAGAGGGGGAGCCAGGGAGTGAGGGCACCACTGCAAACATTAATAGAGAGGAGAGCCCTTAATGGGGGCACCTGCAGGAAAATTGCTCTGCTTTTACCTGCCAGACCCAGAGCACCAAATGGTGCACCACTGCCCCCTCCCAGTTTGCTGTCCCAAATCCACCCCAGGGCACTCAATGCACCCAGTTTATAGCAGAGGCAAAATACAGCACAAACACACCCCTTCACGGGGGAAACTGAGGCACAGGGAGGCTGCACCATCTCTGAAGACACCTGACCATGGCACAGCAGCAGTGCAGGTCCCTGGAGCCCAAGGGGAGCCCCAGGGGAGCCCTGGCCCTGGCAGACCCTCACCCGCACGGGCGTTGGCAGCTCCCTGAGAGGCTCCACGCTGCGGGCCGGGTCCTTGAGCCGCGTCTCCTGCCGGGTCCGCCCTGCCTGCAACAGGAGGCACAGGGTGGGCATCTGCCTGGGGCTGCTCTGCCCCCCAGCCCTGCCCCAGGGCTGCACCTGCTACCCAAACACCCTGCCACAGTCTGTGCCTCATGGGGCTGAGCACCACAGGCCGTGCCCTGGGGAAGGTGAGAGGAGACAGATGGATGCTGGAGGTGCCTTGTGCTGAGCCCCTTTGTGCAACTTTGTGCTCCACAGCATCTCTGCAAGGCTGCCCACTGCTGCAGCCCACTGCACCCAGCATGACAAAGAGCAGGAGCCACAGCTGGGAGGACTGGGATGCCAGGAGAAGCATAGACCATGGCAGAGCACCCATCCCAGGCATGAACCCATTACACATCCTGGATGCTCTCACACTTCCATGGGTGCACTTTTCCACAGCAGCACCCAGGGCAGCCTTTCCCTGGTGGTCAGAGTTACAGTCCAGCCCAGACCTGCTGCCTGCACCCAGCATAGCAGAGATTCAAAATTAAATGAGATTTTGCACTGAAGAGCCCCCAAACTAAACAGTGGGAAAGATCAATTTTCACCCACTGGATTTATGGCTCTTTCTTTTGGAAGCTGCCTCATCTCAGGCAGATCTCCAACCTTGGGGTTTAATTCTAACTCAAAACAATAAAGCCAGAAGGCAAAAATGCTTCCAGACCCTGGAGGTTTGTCAACCTAATCAACAAAAGAGGGTGGGTGAAATTGGGGTCCAGCTCACCCCAACAGTGGGACTGATGAGATGCTTCCGTGTTTCAATACAGCCAAGATTTTAAAGAAAATATCAGCATATTTTATTAGGCTGCTGCAACATGCAATGGGCATTGCTGCATCCCACACCACCCCCTCCTACTGCTGTATCATGAGAAGCAGGAATTTAAAAATTAAAACATTACGCTGTGGGTATTGCATTCATCACTGGACTGCTCCTCTGGCACTGAGCACTAGAGAAGCTCAGAGGGAAAGAGATGAAGATCCTGGCACCAGATGCCACCCAAAAACACAGCCCCCAAAAAGCACCCTCAGTGTTCACTCACCCTCTGCACTGGCAGATCCAGTGGCCAGGCCAGGTCCTCCTTGGAGAGGTCTCCATTGCTCTCCTTCTCCTTCTTCAGGGGCAGCAGCCCCAGGCCCCTGGAACCTGAGCAGAGACAAGACAGAGCAGCCTCAGGCTCTGCAAGCCCACCTGTCCCTGCATGCCCCAGCCTCCCACTGCTCCCACATCACAAATTGGAGACACCAAACCTCATTGAGGAGAAACGTGGCTGGGGGCAGAGACAAGTGGCATCCCCAGGGCTCCCACTGTGGCACCACAGCCCCAGATCACCCACCTGTCCCTAAAACTGGGAGGGACTAGCAGCAAGCATGGGGACATTCTTATGTACTCCCTGGTTCCTAAAAGCTCAGAGGCACAAGGAGACCACAAGCCAGCTCTTCCAGGCTTGTCACCAGGTCATTTAAAGCAGGACCTTGTGATCCCAAGAAGTGGGATTTGGGAATGCTGACTGGAGAATCCCAGGAGCAGCAATGCAGCCCCTCAGGCTGGAGGGGCTCCCCTGCTTTCCTCACTCCATGGGGGTTAAACTATTGAGGGGCAGAGCCAGCATCCCAGTGTGGCACCCATTCCCACAACCACAGCGTGGCCTGGGTGTGCTCCTGGATCACAGAAATCCAGTGGGGTCATGAAGGGACTGGCCACAGAGCAAGGCCTGGGACAGAGGCTGTGACATCCCAACCCTGTGCACCCTGCAGCACTCTGGGCTCAGTGTGTGACCCTCACCTGGAGTGCTGGGCTTCCCATTGGCTTCCAGGACAACGCCAGGTGCTTTGTCCCCATTGATGAGGATCAGCTTTGCCCTACAGTCAGCCTCATCCTGCCCGTGGCTCTTCTCCTTTTTCATGGTCGCCTGTAGAAGCCAGAACAGAAAGGAAATTCAGGTGTGCAAGGAAGCCCCAGGGAGGGCAGAGCAGACAGAGTGAGATCCTTGAGCCAGCTTTAAGTTTGTGCCCTTAGCAGAGAGGTCTGACTGGAGATGCAACTGAAGTCCTGGGAAATAAACAGCACTTGCACATAAATGTGGTGTCCCTAAAGGTCAACCAGCTCCATCTCAAAAGATCCCAGATGCAGCCCACTTATCCTTAGGGAACACCAGGTTTTGCCCCAACATCTGTACGCTGGCTCGGAGCTGCCCCAGCTCGCTCCGACAGACCCTGTCTGGAGGGGAGCTGCACTTCCAGACAGGGCCACCCTGAAACCAGGGGCCAGCCCACCCCGGGGGCCAGCCCACCCCCGGGCCACCAGCCTCCCGTGTTCCAGCTGCCCAGCCCGCCCAGAGGTGGGTGGGCTGTTCCTCAGCAGCAGGACAGGCAGGCACAGCCCGCCATGGGGGGCAAAGTCCTGGAGCCTGCATTAAACTCTCCCCGAGGGAGAAAACTCCTCCTGCCCCTGCTCCTGGCCTCAGCTGCCCTGCCCCAGGGTGAAGGGGCAGAGCAGGGGGCTGAGCATGCTGGCAGCCCCTGCCCTGGTGTCCCTGCAGAGCTGGGGCTCTGCTGCCTTCCCTTGGTGCCCTCCCTGGCTCCTGTTTCCCGGAGTGGAAGCTCCCAGCCCTCCCAGAGGCACCCGGATGCCATGAACTGCTGCCTCACTGCCGGGCTATGGGTCTGTGCTGCAACTTGCCTCTCCAGCAGCACAGTCATTTCAGCAGCACGTAACTCAAGAGCCGAGAAGCTCGCAGGGCTTTGCCCACCTACAGGCCTGTTAGGAAGCCAAAGGAACACCCCCCTCAGCCCCAGAGACCCCAGAGAGACCCCAACTCCAGCCCACCACCCCTTCTGTGTCACTCTCACTCTGCATTGCCTCCAACCACTGCCCTAACAATTGAGATTTCTGCTTTGAAATCATCTGTCAGCACCTCTAACAAACAAAGACCAGTTGGAGTTTGATGTTTTGGACGCAGAGGGCAGAGTTAAAAACCTGGTAACGCTCAAACACAAAGGAAAACAGGTGTCCAGCACCAACCTCCACAGTGAGGAACCTCGGTGCACACACTGCCTCCCCCCTGGACAAAGGGAGGAGGAGAGGAACGGCACCAGACACTGCAACCCCCCCCCACAGCTGTGCGCAGAAATCCCTGTGCTGCAGCACATCTGCTCCAGACCCAGCAAACAATTCCTGGGAGCTGCCCAGACTCGCCGCCTGCCCCCGGCCCAGGCGGATGGTCCCACATGGCCCCGGATGCTCCAGGATGCAGAATCCACCACGGCACAGCACAGCCAGGTCAGGGCCAGCTCCTCCTGCTCTGCTCCCCCTCCTCAGCCCGCAGTGCTGCAGAGCAGCAGCAGCCAGGCCTGGCAGCAATGCTGCCACCAAACCCAGGAAAACTCACCAAAAAGTGAATGTCCCTTGGGAATCCCTACAGGGAGGCTGCTCTCCCAGCATGAGAGTGATCTGAACCACAGGGTACAAGGAGATGGAGCTGCATGAGGCAGGTAAGATTCAGGGAGGACAGAAGCAGGCAAGGATATCTCCCAGCCCTCCCAAACATCTGCACCCACAAAACTCCACTGGGACTCTCAGACGACCTCTGCATTCATTCCTTTGTCAGGAACCTGAGTCCAGGAAGTTCAAACTTGCACTTCAAAATGGCTTTTCCTTCCTCAGCCCCAGACTGCCTTATGTCCAGCACACCAGGCAAGGGAGTGCTGTCAGCCCAGCACTGGGGAGGTGAAGGGCTGAGGTGACACAGTGCCCAGGTCTTGCCAGGACTGAACACCTGATGCCCCAAGCTCAGCTTTGCTTAGGGAGCTCCCCCATGGCCTTTATTCCAGCGATAAATTGGAGAAAAAAGGGTTATATCCCCTTGGAAGGAACTGCCTGCTGGCAGAGCAGAGAGCCACAGGTCACAGCTCTGTGTGTCCATGGCACGGCCACAGGCCCTGCCGTGAGCATAGGCACGTCAGCTCCATGCTTGGTTCCCTGCTTGCTCCATGCCCTTCTCCAGCTGCACTGCCCAGGATCACCTGAGGACATCGTCACCATCCTCTGATGGGAAAGGGAACAGCAGACCAGGGCATAAACTGCTCATTGAAGTGCCTCTCCCAAAATCCTAAAGCTATGCAGCAGGACTGCAATTCCCTCCCCTTCTCCTGCTGTTTGCACCAAGTGCTGAAGGCACAGGAGCCCATCCTGCTGCCCACTGGCCACCCAGGGTCCCCTGCAGGAGCCACATCCTTGTGAGCTCAGCCCCTCCTGCTCCCGAGGAAGGCTTGGCTCTTTGTCCTCGCCTCCCCTCGCAAAAACACACCATCATGTGCACTCAGGGCATTAATAATCAGAAACAGAGCACTGCCCTCGCATGGGCTGGCTCAGGGGAGACCAACCCTGCAGTGTTTGCACTGCCCAGCGCCCTGCAAACACAGTCATGCACTCCATGTGGAGACGGGAATCCATGAGAAGGCAAGTAATGCACAATTCCAGTCCCACGGCCCAAAGCTCCCCCAGAGCCCGGCACCAGCATCAGCCCCGGCACTGCCTGGTGACCAGGACGTGCCCTGCAGCCAAATCCCACCCGAGAAGACAATGAACCCGCTGACTCCACAGCCCGCCCTCATTTTGCAATACCAGCTTCTTTAAGATTTGCCAAACTGGTTAAAGACCATGCCACAGCATTAACTGCTTAGAGAGAATTCTGGTCCCTGCCTGGCCACGGCTGCTGGCCACCCTGGGGTGGGCAGAGCGGGCAGAGTGGGCAGGATGGCTGGGCTCACCTGGCAGAGAGGGCAGGGTGGGCAGGGCTCACCTGGCCGGGCCGTGCTCTGGACTGGACCCCTGCCCCTGCTCCCGGGGCTGCTCCTCCAGCCCGGCCCAGGCTGGTTTCAGTTTTCCTTGCTGAGAAAAGAGGCCGCCCTGTTATCAGGTGCATGTCCCCAGGAGGTGGGGAGGTTTCGGACTTTGCCTCCAGACAGGGGCATGCATATCAAAAGGCTGGAGGGAAGCTTTACCCATGGCTGGGATGGAGCCATCGCCCAAGCCCTGTTTGAATAACAAAAAGAAATAAAGGACCCTAATGGCCGGGCTGGCTCTGGGCTGTGGTGCACACTAATGGCCTTTAAAAGTCTCCCCAAACCGAACATTTCCCTCTAATCCTGGGAAGAAAGGAGTTGCTGGGTTGGCAGTTCGTAAGAAAGGCGCCGATTTCGCAGATGTGCTCGTTGGGAAGGGCAGGGGGCGAAGGGCAGGCTCCCCCTGCCCGCTTCCTGTGCCTGGCCTCTCTGCTCTCCCGCTCCGGCACTTCCCTCCATTTCCCCCGGTTTCCTCCTGCCCCGCTCCGCTCCCCCCGCAGCCCCCGGCGCCCACCCCGGCTCTCCCCGCTGCCTCGCAGCAAAGCTGGGTTAAAGAAAAGAAACAAAACACGAACCGGCCCCTCCTCTCCCAGCGCAGACCAGGCTGGAGACGTCTCCCGGACAGCCACCATCCCCGCCAACCGCTGCGGCAGCGGCTCCGGGCTCTTTACCATGTTCATCCCGCTGGGATCCCGCCGAGCCCCGCGCCTGGGGCAGGGGCTGCGGGCAGGGCTGGAGGCTCGGGGGGCTCGGGCGGCTCTGGTGCACAGGTGAGGCCCGCTCGGAGGTGGCCAGGCTTCTGTCCGGAGTCGTCACCGCTTCATTCTCCCCCTGAACAACAGGACCAAAGATGACAATGACACCTCGCTTGTCCCCATGGCCGCCCGTCCAGCTCCGTCCAGCCCCAGAGGTGGGGCTGGGATACCCGGCCTCACTCCTCCTCAGCTGATTAAAAATTTGGAAACTGAGGCAGGAGAGTACCAGTACTGCTGAGGGCAGCACTGTCCAGCCATCCCCTCCTTGCCCTCTCCCGTTCCGAGGGAGGTCGTTGCAGGACCAGCTCTTGCCCCAGGACCACCACTCGCCCCCTCGCCCAGGGGTCCTCCCGCCGCTCTCCTCTCCCGGCTGCCCGGGACCTGTGCCCCACGCTGGGGCCACGCCGAGGAGTTCATCCCGGCTTCTCCGCTGATCTCCCCTCCCCGGAGGCTGCCCGCGGGCTCGGCAGCAGGCGGATGCCAGCACAGCCCTGCGGTCGATACCTGCTCCGGCCACCCCGTCCCTCCGGATCGGCCCCGGGGAGGCTTCGCGCCCGCCGGGAACCTCTTTTCCTGCCAACAGAGAGGGAAGATGCGCTGTCAGATCCCCGACCGAGAGTCGAAAACAAAGGTGTTCGGCCCGGGGCAGCAGCGCCACCGTGCCCCGGTACCCCCGGCAGCTCCGCACGGTGCCCCCGGCCTGGAGGCGGCGCTGCCCGGGACGATGGAGCCGGGCAGGGGACCCCGGCCCCCCCGAGCCACCACTCGCCGCACAGCGAGGGGACCCTCCCGCCGCAGCCCTGGCTCAGCCCCGGCCCGGCCCCGCGGGTCGCGGGGGTCCCGCACCGGCCTCGCCGTGACAGTGCCGGGACGCGCCCCCGGGGCTTCCGCGGGAAACTCCCAAAGCTGCAACGGGACCGGAGGGGTGGGCGGGACCAGGGGGACTTAGGGGACCATGCCCGAAGCTGTGGGAGCTGTGATCCCTACAACACGCCCCAGAGCCGAGTGCCGGCAACAAGTGGCCGTCGGGCCCACCACCCCCTGCCCCCTGTCCCAGCCCGCGGGGCGAAGCCGCGACTCCCCGGTTACCGGGCACCGGGGCCGCCAGACCGGCCGGGGCGCTCCCGCCCGGCGCTCCGGTGCGCCCGGTGCCGCCTTCCCCCCCCGCCTCATTGTCCCCCGCCACGGCCGCGGACAACAAAGCCGCCCACGAGGATGTGCCACGGCTCCGGCTCGGAGGCTCCGGTGCTCCGGTCCAGCGCTCACCTGCGCCGCGGCGGGACGCGCCGTCCAGCGGGGCCGCGCCGCCGCTCGCCGCTGCCCGCGCCCCGGCCGGCCCCCGACAGCCCCGCGCTCCGATTACATGGCGTTTTAACCCTGCCCGTGCTGGGCAGCCCCTCCTCCTCCTCCTCCTCCTTCGCCGCCCCATGGCGGGGGAGGGGAGCGCGGGGCCCGCAGCACCACCGCACCCGCCGGGCCCCCCAAGCCCATCGGGGTCTCGCATTCCCCAGGGCCCGCATCCCCCGGGGCGCCACATCCTCCCCGCCACGACTCCGCACCCCCCGGTGCCCCAATGTGTCCCATCCGCTGCCCCACATCGCCTGGGACACCGCCTGGCGCCCCACATTCCCCGTGCCCCGGCTCCCCGCAGACCCTCCCCGGTGCTCCGCATCACCCCCGCGGGGCTCAGCATCCCTCTCCGGAGGCTCCATGTTCCTCCGGTGTCTCACACTCTACCGGGGCTCCCCACCCACCCCCTGGTACCCGCCGGCGTCCTGGTATCACCTCCACTGCCCAGCATCCCCCAGGGTTCATCATTTCTGCGGGGCTCGGCCCTCGGAGCCCCACGCAGCTCAATTCCCGAGGCAGAGGAGACTCCCTTGGCACCCCAGGCCGGGCAGAGCCCTCGCCCACCGAGCCAGCTCTGCCCAGCAGTTTCCAGCAGCACCCACACTGCCCCATGCAGCACAACCCCGCAGACAAAGCCTCACAAGTTTCACATTCAGTTTTTGTTTGTTCTTTCCCTTTCCCGTCCAGAGGCAAGGCACTTGCAGGGCTGTCCCGGGGCCAGGGACACAGCCCGCGCCTCTCCTGCCCCAGACAAAGCATCCGGAGTCCACGTGGGGTATAATCTTCCCTGCTTGCCTGTTACTACTTCTAGATTCAGCAGAAAAGTGTATAACAGTAAGAAAAGCAACATGATTATCCTGGTGTGATAGAAATGAGCTTTCAAGGTCAGGAGGAAATCTTTGTTAGCCAAAGTGTCTGAAATCTACAGGACCAGCCCCAGGCCTGTACAGCAGGTTCCCCCAAACCACACCTCCATCCCTGCAGAACACAAGCATGAAAAATTTGGCAGCAAATGTGAAAAATGCTCTGCAAGTGAACAGGAGGAGCTGAGAAACCCACTCTGAATAAGCCCCTGGGGATACTAAACATCACCATTCAAACAAACATGCACCACATAAACCTAAAGCCTATTCGCAGCTTGGGTGAGTAGATTAAAACAAACAAATAGATTTTACTCCCATTTGTTTTCCCAGATTAAGGAAAGGGAAATGCTTTTGAGAGCTGTGCTCGTGAGAGTTTCCAGGGCACTGGGAGGGTGGAATCAGCCCTTCCAGCATCCACGGGTTCCTCTCCCTTTCTGCGGAAACCTTCCTGCTGCTGTTGGCCTCCCTGACCTGCCATCAATCTCCCGCCAGCCGAAACGCCCTCTTTCCCTCTCTGCCCCTCAGTTATCATTTAATTCAGGAGAGCAAGGCTCTGCAAACTGCTTGTGGGAAAGGTCTGGTACCAGACAAAGCAGCTCTGGCAGACAGTGAGCCAAAGCCTGATCCTTTTCCTGTCTCTGCTACACACACCACAGAGAGATGCTGGGAGTTTATTTCATAACAATCAAGAGAATGTGTACGTCATTTCATGGGAAACAAGGTACCTTTACAGAGATTTTATACCCAGGCTCCTGCCACACATTCCAGGCTCTCCTGTTGAGCTGGCATCAGCAGCCTCTGTCAGGAGAGTACCAAAGTAGCTCCTTCACTGCTTCCCACCCAGCATAGACCAGTGATGGGACACGGCTGTGTGGGCAAAGCTCCTCCACTCCAGAGCTGCAAGAAGCAGGCAGCTTGGCCAGGGCTCATGTGAGCAGGGAGGGAGACCTGGGGGGTCCCTCAGCACCCCTGGGCACAAGCAGCATGTCCTCAGCACACCGTGCCGCGGACACATCCCTGCCCATCGGCAGCAGGTCTGGGCTGCTCAGCTTCTGCAACATGTCATTCCAGCCAGAACCATTCCCTCATCTGGCTGTGCTCCTTTGGCTGGCTGGCATCTCAAATTCATGGAGCCAGTGACCCACCAGCTGAAGGAGCCATTCCCTGTCACTGTCACACAGTCAGGACTGGCAACATGCCTTCACACTGGAAGTGACTCCTCATTTTTCACAGCCTTCCCAGCAACCATGCCAGCTCTTCCACACAGAACTCCTCACTCCCAACCCTGAACCCTTCTCTTCACTGAAGGCTGCTCAGGCAGTGCCTTCTCTGAAATACACCTGGGGTATGGCACCAGGCCCAGCTCCTCTCTGTCCACCCAGATTTCCCTCTTCTAATTCTTCCCAAAATTCTCCTTTGTCACCCTGGCCAGGCAAACTAATGCCACTCCCTGCACAGAGCTCTGCTCTGACTGCCATCACCTCCCATCTTTTGCTTTGCACCCAAGGGTTTGAGTTGGGACCTACTCCATGTATCACAGCAGCGTTCCTGGAGATCCTCTACAAATAAATAAATAAATATGTGCCATTACCTACAGCTGAGTGTAACCTCATCACCTCCGGGTCTTGTGGGTCCCAGGTTCCACATCCCAGTAACGGCTGAGCCCTGGTTTAGTCTTCTTGCAGACAGGGAGGAGCACCAGCACCATTAAATCAGCCTGGACAGATGCAAGCTGGGGCTGAGAGCAGGAGGAACTTCTCTTCCCACCGAAGTCAGCAGCAATGCTCCTGCTGTGCTCAGGCTTTGGGGCTCCCATGTTGGTGTACACCCAGCTCAGAGGCTCTTTCCCAGCCCACAATAATGTCATTCTCACTGCACAGCATTCTTCACTGCAAGATCCCATCAGAGCACGTCCCACAGGATGTCTCCTCCTCTTCCATGAGTATCTTCATTGTCTGAGCCCTCACCCCAGCCCTGAGCTGGCCGCCTGCCTCTCCACCAGCTCCACCAGTGCTGCTCCATCACAGCTCTCAGCAGCCAGTCACTGCTCACCACGGCTCCCCAGAGCAGGTCTCCTGTACCTGCCACCTCTCCTGAGTCTGGGGAGAGCTGTGCCACTCAGCAGGGCTCTGGCTGCTGGAAGCAAAGTCTGCTCCTGTTGTGGGAGAGCCTCATCCTGCTGCCACATGTGGGAATACAGCCCCAGCCTGCCTTACAGCTGGGCTAGCTTTTCCCATCTGGTGGGAATTGCTGTTTACACACAGATAGGAAATGTTATCCCTCCTACAAGAAGTTTCTAGCCCTTCCTGTGGGCTGGCCAGGCCCACATGATACAAACCTCTAATAAAAATAAGGTTAAAAATAAGTGTCATCCGTGTAACCAGAACATCTAGAAAGTCTGCAGCTACCGCCTGCAAACTTCAAACGCCGAGGCACACAAAGAAAAATCTTCAATGCCTCTCTAACAAAGCTGGCCACAAAATCCTCTTTTTCCTAGAAAACAGGATACGCCTGCTACAGCCTAATCTGAAGTGACGAGGCCTCCCCAAACCACCCTCCTCAGCACATCCACTTTCATCAAGAGGAGCGCTGCTCCCAGGGGGTGGCTGCCTGCAGAGCCCCCTCCCTCCAGGCCAGCTCCAGAGCTGCTCTTGCCTGCCCGGGTCGGGGATTATGGTCCCTGCTCAGGAGCAGAGGAGCCAGGGGAAAGAG